GCTTGAAGTAGTTATGTAAATAAAACATGAACAAGAGGTGTGAGACTCCATACTGCCTCCTGAAGAACACTTCTGCTGCCTAAGGATAATGAATATTGAGTTTCTTATATGTCTTCCAGAAAGTTACCATGTAAAATGGTATCTATTCTGCACAGTCATGACCATTCAACATATACCTTGATATTTTTCATTTTTTTCTTTTTTTTAAATTTTTTTGATATTTTTCATTTTAACAGATCTGTGAGACTTTTGTATTATGATGCTTACAGTTTCATATTACTCTTTTTAATGTCTGCACAGTGTTGCATTGTTACGGATGAACCATAATTCATTTAGCTAGTCAGTGTACATGTGGGTCCTAATTTTTTTTATCCTTCTGAATACCATGGTAAACATCCTTGTATTTTCATGTTGAATACTATGTGATTACAACTATATCATTTAGAGTATTCCCTAAAAATGGAATCACTAGACCAAAGTAAAAGTACATTAAACATATTTGTAAACAGTGTTACACTAGCCTCTGTGTATGAGGGTAGCCATTTCCCCGGGTTATCAAACTTTAAGTCTTTGCTCATGATACCCCGTGTGTGTGTATTTCATAAAAAGTGAGATTTCCTGTATTTATAAGTTGTTTTTTTCCCCTGTGACCACACTGTGTATATTCTTTTTTTTATCTTTTTTTAATTATTATGTTATGTTAATCACCATACATTACATCATTAGTTTTTGATGTAGTGTTCCATGATTCATTGTTTGTGTATAACATCCAGTGCTCCATTCAGTACGTGCCCTCTTTAATACCCATCACCAGGCTAACCCATCCCCCCACCCCCTTCCCCTCTAGAACCCTGAGTTTGTTTTTCAGAGTCCATAGTCTCTCATGGTTCATCTCCCCCTCCGATTTCCCCCACTGCATTCTTCCCCTCCTGCTATCTTCTTCTTCTTCTTGCTTTTTTTTTTTTTAACATATAATGTATTATTTGTTTCAGAGGTACAGATCTGTGATTCAGCAGTCCTGCACAATTCACAGTGCTCACCATAGCACTGTGTATATTCTTTGCCTATTTCCCTAACAGTTTATTGGGCATTTTCTTTCTCATTTGTAGGAACTCTTTATATTTTAAGGAAATTAGTCCTCTGTCATCTTAGATGTTACAAATATGTTGGTACTACTTATTTTATTTCAATTTTATTAATATTTTTCTCTGTTGAAATGAATTATTTCAAATTTAACTCTCTTTTGGTACAATTTCTGAATTTGACGTCTACAGAGTTTTACATACAAAAATGCTTTCTTCCCCCCTATTTTCTTCTATTGCTTTGAGTTGTTTTTTATGTTCAACTATTCAAGCCATCTATAATTCACTTGAGTATATGGAGTGAGACCAAAATACCATATAATTTTTTCTAAATATCATATCATGCTGCTGACAAAATTGCCTCATATTTGAGTGCAAAATAATAAAGCTAGATCCATACTTGGTGCTTGCAAAGAACCAAGAGAGGGCTGTTATAACTCAGTGAAGGAGAAGCAGTGCTGTCTGGACAGCAGGCGAGGAGCTGCTCTGCAGGGCTTTGTAAGTCAGGGTTGTGAATTTGATCTTATTCAAGTAGTGTTTCTTTTTCATGTTGGTTTCACATGTTTCTCTCTATATAAAATATATTTTAATTTTTTTAATCCATTGAACATTTTAAATTTTCTGTATTATTTATACAACAGACACTCTATTATTTCCATCATTACATTTCTGTCATGTTTTTAGCTCTTAATGTTTCCTTGGTTTCTATCTTTTGTCAAAATTCTTGTCCTGCGTTACTTCCCTAAGGACTTGTAAACATTCCCACTGGCCTCTGGTATTGTATACTGCTGGGGAGAAATGTGAAGCCGATTGATCTTTCCCCTTGTAGGTTAGCTGCTTTTTCTGCCAGAATATATTAAAGAAGCGATCTTATAAAATTTTAACTCATTAATTCACATATCAGGATATGGGTAGATGTTAATCTTTCTTTTTCTGTGGTTTTGTTTCCTGGAGACAAACGGTGCTCTCCCTATTGGCTGAGTAAGGTATTAAGAATATTTCAGAATTTTTCTTTTATTATATCTTTGGACATTTTTTTTCTATTCTACTTGTTCTTTTTTCTTTAAGGTACACCTTTTAGGAATTTTTTGGTTATCTTTGGGAGGCTATCAGTTTCTCTTAAAATGAATGTTAACCTTTAATGCTTTGTTTGACATTTATTTTCCCTAGCCCTCCCTCCCTACCCCTAAATGTGGTGTCAGCAGTATCAGTTCTGGGAGCTATCCCCCTTTATATGCCTTTTATCTGCAACATTGACTCTTTCTTATTTATTATCTTCTTTGATATCTTAGACATCTTACTTTAGCTCTTGTTTCAATGAAAAGCCACATTTTCTTGAGCTCTTCTGTGCTTGTTGAGAGCATTCAAGATATTCTTCTGCTCTGTGACCTGGTTCTTTCTGTAGAGATTATTTCATGTTATTGTCATTTATTCATCTATCATATTATTTCATATACATATTTATTTATTTATGTTTTCCTTATTATTTTCTGATAATGTCTAGGGAAGAGGGGCTACAAAATTGTCTCAGAACACTTTCTCAATCAAATGTTCTGCTTCTTGCACACTGGTCACCTGTCTCTTTGCAGCAAAATGCACCTCCCTCACCGCCATTTCTTCTCCTCCGGGGAGTTGGAGGGCCATGTGTCTCACACTAAATGTCTGTATGTTATGGGTTTTCTGTTAAATGAGTTTGCATTAATTTCTTTTCAGGTTCCTCCATCAGTGTCTGACCAGTTGATGGCCATTTATGCTCCCTACTTTACCCTGCCATCCTCCTCATTGCTTCTTGGGGAGAAACAGCATATGTATTTACATTGCCCCTCAACCTCAGTTTGCTTGCTATGCTGAATGGGGCAAGGGACCTCAGCCATGACTTGCCCTGCTTCTAGATTTCACCCTTTAAATAAGAGGTGGTTCAGCTCTTTTTTGGATTGTTCCCCCTGTTTCCTAGAAAACTTTATACTCTGTACGTTTTGTCTGCTATCAGCAGTTCCCCCTTGTTTGAGCTAATCTTGTCGCATTTATTATTTCCGTCTGTGTCATCTGTCTTTTAATAAAGCCTATCCCATACTTTCACTGAAAATAGCTATTTTCTATTTTCAATTATTTTTGCTGTTTTCACTTGATAGTAGGGAAGGGGGAATAGCTATAGAAATATCACTACTCTACCTTCAACAAAAGATGACGAGTTAACTGAATTAAGCAATAAAATAGTTAAGTGTTCACTAGATATTTATCAGTGTTCGCTCACTTGTTTGAATAGGAGAATATAGAAGTATAACACAATCTTGGGGAAATAAAGTTACAACTCTTGAAACAATTTACAAATATGCTTGAGTCAGATGTGGATCCAGGCTCTCATTGCACTAAAAGCTTGGTTGAAGTATTGATTGTTAAGGCCTCCAGTGGTTAGAAAGCAGTGCAATTGGAAATATTGTTTTAGGGACAGCTAATATTTGAACAGGTGTTGTAAAAAATATTTGGAGTGCAGAACATGGCACCAATTTCTGATTCTTAGTCCCTCATCAATATTTCTTGGCTGAGAACAGCCATACCTCATGGGGACCTCTCAGGAGACAGTTGGATTTAAGAGTGAGTTGGTGTGTAGAAGGATTTTTGAAGGTCAGCAAGCTTATCTTAGGTTTAGGAGAGATCCGTAGTAGTTTTTTGAACCAGGGGATGAGATAATGAAAGCTGTGCTTAAGAAAACTTCATCTGGCAATTGAATTGAGGTGATTTCATTTGATCCCACTGGGGCTCGGTGAGTCCTTTGTACTAGGTATCCCACTCAGTACAGTTGTGCAGTGTAGGGAACAGTTCCTTTTGCAAGAAGCTTAGTCTGGTGGATTTAAGAAACTGATTTGGAAAAATCTGACTCAGTAAAATTTCAATAGCGGAGTTGACCTCAACTCTTATTATCACGGGGTAGCTGTTCTGTGTTGCCATTGTAGTTCTACTCTAGTAGCAGATTCAGTCTGTCATGGTTTTTACCACTTAGGTGGATTCTATGATTTACACAGGATGCTTTAAAATTTACCTCCAAATCACTGGAATCCTGTTGTGTCCCATAAATTTAGATGACTTTTAAGCAGCAGCATTTTGTATTTCATTTATCCATATTCACGTCCTTCTAGACCAGGTTTTCCGCCAGCCTCGTGATGGCTCACCCCTCTTCTAATGCACTCTTACTGCCCCACATCTTCTCCTAATTATGCCTGCCTGATGGCTCCTTCTCTGAAATATTTTTATTCCCTGACATTTTGCTCCACAGTTGTTTTTTATGTCAGTCTTGCTTAATCAATTAGAATTATAGTCCACTTGAAGACATAAATAATCGTCTACATTTTATTTATTTATACATCCCATGTTACTCCTGAAGATGACTTGAGCATGTTCCTTCCATATTACTGTGTTTTGACCTTGGCTGAAGTGGTGGATGTCCGATTAAGGGGGGGAGGGTGATATTTTATGAGCTAAGCACACAAATGACCAATAAAGGAGTTTCTGTTGTTTTTTATTTATGGTTTTTATCTGTTTGAAAGTCCTACAAGGATCAATCATATTTACCAAATCAACTTTATAGGGAAAAAGCATGAATTTGAGACTCTTCCAGTCAATGAGAAAGCATTGCCACAAAACATATTTGATATAAGTTAAACATAAGGTGCTTTTCTGTAAATATGTGCACATTACCAAATTGATGTTTGCGTTCAGTATAAATTTCCTTTAAAATATCGGTACATGTGATATTGGGACCTTATATTTTATGAAAGAAAGACCGCCACGTCCTGTGGCTCTTTATCCCTCAGCAGCTGGGTCCAGCTGGTGGTCCACATTCCCCTGCTACTTCTTCAGTGAATGGAAACATTTAGGTCAATATTGATATAAAACTTCTTGAACTTTCTTCTCTTTCAGCTTTGGTTCGCCTTTGTTAATGGATTTTCTGGGCAGATTTTATTTGAACGTTGGTGCATCGGCTTGTACAATGTGGTAAGCATTCTCCATCTCTATCAGATAGCATGCAGAACTTCAGTGACATTCCTTTACTGTTTATGTCTGGGAAGTGTATCTAAGTCAATCATCTGTATACATAGCAGGCAGCACAAATACATCTTTAGAGCCTTTGTTGCTGGGACACATCCTGCAGAAGCCCAAGCTCTCCACACATGGTTTCAATCATAGCAGATCATTCTTGAATAACCCCATGAAATTATTAACCCATATATCTTGATAATAGACCCTTGTTACCTCCTTACTAAATGCCTGCACAACATTTCCATGTTTTTAGCTCAAGTAAAAATTTCTGAGCTACATCTCAACCTATTCCACTTCATAATTTTATATCTGAATTCCTAAACATAGACACACATATATAGCACATAATCTAGTGTCCTTTTTGTCCTTCTTAAAAGAGTATCTGTCCTTGTGGAAGAATGTTTTCTTCCACTGCTAGTGCTAAAATAATGAATGCTGACTTCCAGCTCCCATGGTGAATGGTAATCAGCTTGTTCCATATTTTGCATGATTTTAGAGTTCTTTTTTAATTACTTCACTATTGTGGATTCAAAAGCTAGAAATAAATATGAACTACAAGCCAAAAATGACAAAGTGTAGCTACTTGGCTTTTTGTTTGGTGGTGAGAACTAAGGGGCTCATAGCCTGGTGCTTTAGAGACCCCAGCATGCAACGTTTTGAGTTGCACTTTCCCATGTCTTTTGGACACTAACTCTGACGTTGCCTGCCCTATGGGAGTTTATAGTCAGAAGCAGCCATCATAGGTAGATATAGATGGCAGTTACCAGACATACAGTATACATTGTGGTGCTATAAATATTTAGTTTGTGTATACATATGTGGCTGGATGTTCAAGTCATCTCTCCACTCAGTCTTTTTCTTTTTTAGTAGCTACCATGCTAGGTGCTGGGTATAAAATGCTGCATATGACAGGTTGCCCCAGCCCTATGTAGCTTGACAGGTGAAGAGGCTCAAATAGATAGACTAAGCTACCACTAAGCCTGAGTTTATATCTTGAGTTTAAACAGCATCGGTCGGTTAGGAACTGTACGCTAGCACATTTATTACTAATACTTAGGCTCGAAAGGCAAAGGTGACCGTAGTGAGAGCAGGGCTGAATCAGTGCCTGTTCATCACCTGTGCCCTAACAGCTACTCTAACTCACTTATCACATGGATAGAGGCTCAAGGACCTCCCCTCGGACAGATTGTTAACTTTGCAGAATTTAAAACTGTTTTGAGTAGATGAAAATTATGCTGACTGCTCCATAATGATTTAGTGCCAGAAAGGGCCAAATCCATACCCATACACGTATTTATAAATGGGAAGCTGAGACCTGTGAACCTGTGCTTTAGAGCTAAGGACTGGAATACAAGTCCCCTGGTCACACGAGGCATGGAAGCTAGCCCTACTTTTGTGCTCAGGCATGACAGCTGGATTCTTTTCTTAGCTCTGTGCAGCCTTGGGCAATTGAAATTAATCCAACAAACTTGTGCTGAGGGCCTGCTATGCTTAAGATGCTGATAGGCTATAGGACAGGGTTGGTCAAAATAGGGTCCACACACCACTTACATTAGAATAACTAGGATTCGTTTGAAGATGCAGATTCCTAAGCCCCATCAGAGTTTCTCAGAGATACTGAGAAACAAAACAAAATGTTAAATACATTTTTTTTAGGAATGGTTGTGCATATGAAAGTTTAGGACCCACGATGATCTTTGATCCCTAGAGTTGGGAATGTGTGGTATGCTCTTTGTGTCCCCCAGACTATAGAAAAGAGAATATTGCAGGAGAGAAGTGAATTTCCAGGTGAAATGGCCCATGTCACTACAGGTACACAGTACAGGTGTTAGAGTTAGTCACCAACCAGTGGTGGCAGAGTTGGGACTCTCAAGGATCTGTGAAGTGGTCTCAGAAAGGTGTTGGCCTCCAGAAGTCATTCATGCTGAAAGGGCCAAACCTTTTGAGAACATGGAAGTCTGTCCCCGTAGAAATTATTTTGGTGAATTTTGTTTGAAATAAATTGAAACTCAGAGAAATATTGCAAAAAGAGTACAAAGAACTCCTGTATTAGATTCCTCAGTTATTAGCATTTTGTCCTCATTTGCATTGTCTGTCTGCACATGTGCATGTGTGTGCACACCCCTCGTGGGCGCTCGTGGCACACACACACCAATACACTCATTTCTGAACCACTTGAAAATAACTGAAGACATCAGGCCCCCTTACTTTGGTGCATAGATGCTAAGACCACAGTCTTATATAACCACAGTATAATGACTGAAGTCTAAAATTAAGCATGGATACAATACTATTATCTGATCCATATTAGTCCATATTCCAGTTTTGCCATGGCTGTTCCAATAATGCCTATTTAGTAGGTTTTCCCCCCTCTAGCCGCACTGCCCAGAGTACAGTATGGTACAAGAGGCAGTTTGGGACATCTGAGATGTTCACTAGTGATCCCTCTTCTGGGCTGGATTTCCTCTTGCCATTTTCTCCAAACAGCATTTCTGTCTTGCTTGTGTTGCTTTTTCTTCTTCTGTATTTACTCTTTATATTTATATTTGATTCCCCAGGCCAGCTAAAGTAGCGAGTCATCATTTCTCGTAGCAGATTAAATAGCATTAAAACTAACTTGAAACTCTTAAATCTCTCAGAATATTGAATGAATGTCATCCCATTGGATTCTCATTATATCCATAATCAAATTTCTCCATCATTTTATTTTATGGTTACTAGAACCACCATGATCAGATGGATTTCAGTTAGATTTCATCCTTATTTTATTAAGAGATAACTCTTAATGTGTTTTAAACGGTTTCAAAAATTTATCCCTTTTAATCTTATCAAGTCAGAATAATTTGAAGAAAAAACTGTGAGCCAGCCTCACTTGTAAACAGTATTATAAAAAATCTAAATAAAATAGCAGCAAATAGAGTTCAACAATGTATCAAAAGAGTAAAATATTTGACCAAGTAGGGCTTATTTCAGGAATATAGGAGGTTCACACTTTTTAAATATTTCTAAATATCATTATATCAACGAAAGAAAAAAGAAAAACCCGATCTCATCAGTGGTTGCTGAGAAAGTATTTGAGACAAGTCAGCTGCCATTCCCAAAATAAGAACTCCAAGTAAAATAGGAAAGAAAGAAGCCAATTAACCTAATCTAGACTATTTATAAAAAACAAAAAACCAAAAAACAACAAAAAACAGCGTATTGCCATAAATGGCAAAATTCTTAAATGATTTCATTTTAAATAAGAAATTAGTCAGGGATGCCTGAAATCACTATATAATTCAGCTTTGTTTTTGGAATTTTCAGCACCTGCCAAGAAAATTAACTATTACAAATACTAGAAAAAAATGATTTATGTGCTTATACAAATATGCACACAAAAAGTGGCCTTTTAAATGTGTTCATAAATGGCTGTATATCAGAAAACCCAAAAGATACCAGTAAAGAAATACTAGAATTATAAGAGAATTTATAAGGCTACTAGACCCATAATAAATATATAAGGACCAATAGCTTTTTTCTATCCTAGCAATCAATAGCTTTTTTTTTTTAACTCTAGCAATGAGCACTTAGAAATGCAAAGGTATAATAATTACTTTCATATACATTGCATAGGAATAATTTTTGCGGTACCAAATAGAAAAAAAAATCCAAAATCTTATTGAAGTATACAAAATAGAGTTGAACAGATAGAAAGCCTTTCTTTCGTGTGAGAAGATGGTATCATAAAAAAACTCCTCTAAATTGATATATAAATTTATGTATTCCAAATAGAATCCCAGTGATTGTTTGGTGGGGGGGGAGGGAGTTGCATGAAATGATATTGAAGTATAAATGGAATTAACACATAACTGAGAATAAAGATGTAAAGTACAAAAAGAACAATTGTAAGGGTCAACTTCTCTCTACTAAACATCATTCTATACTACAAACCTGTTGTGACCAAGTCAATGTGATGCTGACATGAAACTGGACTAATAAGTTAAGGAATCCAGAAGTAAATTCCAGTTTTGGATTCCAGATCTGTAGTATGTAAGAATTTAATAAATGTCAAAGGTGCTATTTTAGGTTAATGGGAAATGTTTGGATTAATTGTGTTCTAACAACTGGCTCTTTATTTGGAAAAAATAAAATTAGACTTCTGTCTTTACCACATAGATAAATAAATTCCAGATATGTTAAGGCTTACATGTGAAAAATGGAAACTGTAAGCTTCCTGCAGGAAACTCCTGAAAACTTTCATAACCATAATTGGACTCTCAAAGCTATTCTTGACCATATAAAAATTAAACACTTTTATACGGCAGGAGAAACCATAAAGAAAGCCAGGAGACAGAGTGCATTTGGATGAAACTTTATAATATAAAGACAGAATGGATATCTGTTATACTCCAAGAATCCTTAGAAAAGTGGATAAACCACAAATAGAAAACAGACAAAGGACCTGACTAGACCATTCACAAAATTGCAAGTCCAAATGTCCAACAAATAAAAACATGCTCAAATGCACCGATTGTCAGGGAAATGTAAATTTTTTAAGATTTATTTTTTTATTTTAGAGGGGGGAGAGAGAGAGAGAGGACAAGCAAGTGCAGGGGGTGGGGAGGCAGAGGGAGAGAGAAATAGAGAAACTCTAAGCAAACTCCGCGCTGAGCACAGAGCCCGGCTCGGGGCTCAATCCCAGGACCCTGAGATCACAAACTGAACTAAAACCAAGAGTTGGACGATCAACCAACTGCACCACCCAGGTGCCCCAGAAATGTAAATTTTTTAAAGTAAGAGTTAATATCTCCAATTTTTTAGTCTGGAGAACATTAAATATAACACCCATTGCTGATAGGGAAGCAGCAACAAGATTACTGTTGTCCTTTGTGAAGGGAAAGGTAACCTCTTGTGAAAGCAACCAAGCAGCATCTTATAAAATTTAAAATAAATGTATCTTTTTACCCCACCACCCTGTTCTGAGAAACTTTCCCATAGAAATAAAAGATAAAGTATATATATTATAATATATTGTAGATGTTTTTTATATAATGTTTGTGGAACAAAGAAGTGGAAAGAAATGAATGCCTATCTGTAGGTGAATAGCTTAAAAAATACAGTGCATTCATACTATGAATTACTATGTAGGCATGCAAAAGATTGCATTAGTGTCAAGCCCAGGGGACTTGAAGGACATCCCATAATGCATTGTTTTGTGAGAGAAATATGATGAAGAAAAATGTGTAATAATGTCTGGTTTCTGTAACAACAAAGAATGATCCCCAAACAGTATATGTATGTGTACGTGGTATGTTGTAAGCAGGGTGAAACATATGGTAGGCCCTACCAGGTAGTTGGCCATTGGTGAAGGGTAGGACGCTTTGAAGTGGGTAGAAAGTCAAGTAAAAAAGAAAACAAAAACAAAAACAAAAAGCAAGATGGCAGTATCAAGTGTGCATGATAGCACATTTAAGCAAAACCACAAGGGTGAGTTGATGTACTAAGAATGTGCAAAACTTCTGAGATGTCTGTTAGGAGCATCTCCCTTAAACAGACAACTTGTATTCCTGTGAAAGAGACGAGTACGACCACTCTTGCCTTTTATCCTTGAAATCTGGAGAACACGGACATCCCAGGGCTGTTTTCCTTTCTGCTCCAGGTTGAAAGAGGAGCCTGCAAGTTTTATTGGCCTTCCTCCACCATATCTCTGATTGCTTTATCCTAAGAGATTTAGAAAAGGCTTATTTATCTGGACTCAGGCTCCCAGTAACTTGTGTACACAGTGTTCTCAGAGGCACACGTCCAGTTCCCACGGGCTTGAGAGCTTGCTGGGTCTGCGGGTATGGAATTGCTCGATGCTGATGCTTAGCAGCGAGTGACCCAGTATGTGAGCCATTCCCAGAACCAAGTAAGAGAATGGCCTGCAGGACTGCTGTGCCCTCTGGGCTGGAATGACATCTTTATTCCAAACCTCTTCTTCAGGATCTGGCTTTCTCTTTCCAAAACACAAATATGAGTGTGTCCGCCTCCTATAGATTACAGGTAAAGTTAAAAGTCTCAGAAGGCACCATCTGCCCAAGAAACTCATTGTCATGGGAGCTTGCGGTCTCCTTCCCAGCCCTGTCTTATGCCCTGTCCTCAGCCAGCCAGCACCCTGGATGTCTTACAAGTCCAACCCCCACCCCCAAATGTACCACATGTGTTCAGACCTGAAGCTTTGTGAGGGGTGCCTGTTTCAGGGGAGTCCTTCCTTCTGTGCCGCTCTCCCCAACACACCTTTTCCTCCTGCCAAATCCCATAGGTCCAGTACCTTACAGGTCAGGCAGTCTGGTCCCAGAGTCCTTTCTTGACTCTCCCTTCTCCTTCTCCACCCTCTCCCCCATGAGTTTTGCAGAGCGCTGTGTTTTCTGTGTTTATTTATATGCCTGCTGCTGGCTGCCCGTCTCCACCTCTGCAGTAGACAGAGTTCCTGGAGGTCAGGGACCTGCTTCTTTTCCTTCTTCTTCTGTCTTTAAATCTCCGTACCTATTCCTGGTGCTTATCACAGTGTCTGGCCCATAATTCATTCCCAGTAAATGTCTGTCAGATGAATAAATGGATGAAGCACATCGTGCTTCCTGAAATCTGAGTATAAGATCAGGATGGGAAGTTGTAAAGTTGTGTCTTAGCCGATGCTCACGGAAAGCACGACACTTCACAAAGCCACCTAAATCACCGCTCATTTGACATAGGAAGGTAGTTGTTAATTTAACATGATTTCTTAGCTAATCAAATATTTATGGTGTTGTTTTTAATGTCCAGTGGATTCATTTTATGCTGATTAAGTAACAATTAAAAACGGTCTTCCATGCACTCTCTTTGTTTGGAGGGTGTCTGGCGAGTTGTGAATCATTGAATCTCAGGTTCGGACTTGACTTAAAATTAAGTCATCATTCCACAGAACGGAAACACCTAAGCCAGGTGAATCGGAATGTCCTCTTTTAATGGCTCATTGTTCTCCATACAGATTTTCACCGCACTACCACCCTTCACTCTGGGAATCTTCGAGAGGTCTTGCACCCAGGAGAGCATGCTCAGGTTCCCACAGCTCTACAAAATCACCCAGAATGCGGAAGGCTTCAACACAAAGGTACACAGTGTTATTGCAGAATTGTCACCTCAGAAGGGCATAAGCACTGCTGTATGTCTTCCAGCTCTAGTTATCTGCCTGTGAGGAGCTAATGCGTTAGAGAGAACATTCGAGAAGAGGTGAGACCCCTGCCCTCTCCCCGTGTAGCAAGCCAGTGAATTCAAGATGCCAGCTCAGAAAGGAAGCTTCCATGCTGCAAGTTCAGTTCATGTTTGTTGACTGCTTTCCTCTTGTCCACATGTGGCCAGCAGCACCCATGGCCCTGGCGCCTTTAGGATCAGCTACAGAGGCTCCTCTTACCCTTCATAAAGCCCTGCATTGAGGCGGGCTGGGAGCTTGCCTAACAGAGCCTTCTCGCCACCATGGCTTGGTTTTTCCTTTAAAAGAAAATGTTTCTTTAGCTAGTGAGAAAAATTGGCCAGATGTCAACACAGGAATCAAGTCAGTCATAGGTATCTTTTTTTTCAGACTGGAGAATCAGAAGAGAGAAAGCCCCTAGACCTGAAAGGTGTAAATAATCCTGTGAAGGGCCAAGCAGAAGCTGGGTTAGGTGTTGCCAGGATTCTGCAGTCAGGATGGGCAAAGGGGACATCATGGGGTCTGTCAGTCTTAGCTAACTGGAAAAGTGGTTGAGGGCCACCAGCCAGGAGGGAAGACCTGTGCCTGGCTTGGTGCAGGTCGCCTGTATTGCCATGTTTCTGTCTTAGATGTTTGTGCAGGAGGGGAGATTAGGAAGTTGAAACAGAGGTTCATTGAAACCTTTTAACAGAGGTCAGTGAAATTACTGGACACCAGTTGTGTGCATGATTTGCTTGGGTAGCCCCCCGGGCCTCGGTAAGGATGCCAAGGGGAGTCCTCCATAAGAGAACAATCTCTGAAGCTTTTGTTTTGAGCCAGGTATTACTTGATAGTCTTCTTTCAGAGCTGCCTTATTTTGAGGAAAGCATAACAGGCACATCCAAGCCTGGAAAAAACAAAATGGATCCTATTGGTCCTAGTGTCTTCCATACACAGGAAGACTTGGATGAATAATTTTATCAGTCCATGTTTACTATGATTTTATCAATGGGAAGCAGGGCCTGTTGGTTCTGCATTCTTTTTATAAATCTGTTTTTTATAGAGCTTGAGTTCAAAGGCCCTGTAAGATGGGAAGTAAGTCGGGAATGGAGCCACTTAAAAGGTAGTAGAGCTGAGAATGCTCTGAGACTTATTTGCAGACACTTTGGAGTTTTTGTTTGTTTGTTTGTTTGTTTTTTGAAGGCGTAGGTGAAGAGGTTAGGGAGAAGGAAGAAAAAAAATGAACATTTAAAAATGGGAAAATCCCATTGTCTTACAATTTTTTTCATTTTTCTGTTTCCCCACCACTACTTAGGATCAAACTATATGACAATCCCCAGAACAATCTAGATTTTTAAAAATAAATTCAAGCTGGCTTCAGTATAGTAGTTCTGTCATCTCAGTAGTTAAAAAGATCATTGAAATGCATTTATAAAAACTTAATTTAGAAGAAACTAAACTTTGTGTTCTTTTGTGTGACCTCTGAAGTGTTAAAGAGAATTTTTAAATGTGCATGATATTAACCAAACTCCTAGAAACTAACAAGTTGCTCGGGAGAGATTTTAAAAAGCAAAACAAAAGAGTGAGAGCACCGTGTAGGAATCTACATTTAAAGTGTTTTTAATGCTTTCAAAAAGTCCACAGTTCCTGTCTCTTGGTAACAATTTTGACCTAATACCTTTCTCTTTCTAGATGATTGTAAAAGTCTGTTGTCTTTTTATGATCCTAAAAAAAAAAGGATTATAATTCATTTTTTGGAGGTGGACAGATTGTATATTGGTCCATGTATATGTGCATATATATTTAGGTCTTTGCAGCACGGTAATGTTATCTGGAGACAGTCCAGTCATTTGTGTGTAAAAATGAGGAAATCGGTATTTTTTTAACTTCAAGAATAATACGCTACTTCTGGAGCGATGCAGCCCACTGCCAGTATCCTTCACAATGAGGCATTTGTTGAGTTGCACAGAGGTCAAGAGTTGTGGGCAGCTCCTGACTCCCTTGGTTTGTTTTCCCTTAGGTTTTCTGGGGTCACTGCATCAACGCCTTGGTCCACTCCCTCATCCTCTTCTGGTTTCCCATGAAAGCGCTGGAGCATGGTAACGGCTTCATGATTTCAACTGTCAGCAAGTAGCTCTGCAGTCCCTCTGGTGCCAGTTGTTCACAATTTTTTTTTCCCAGGTCTGCAGACCGAGAGATCACAAGAACACATTTTAGAAGAAAAACATACCTAAAATCTAATGAGAGCTCAGGCTCAGTTTATAGCCTGTAGGTTTCATCCATTCTGGCTCTGAGAGCCCATTTTCTTTCCAGTTGCCTGGAGAGTTTAAAGGCTAGAAATTCTAAACTGTATTTTTAATAACTGAGTCGAGGATCTTGAAGCAAAGCACTGTACTGTAATGAAACATTGATGCCCCTCGTCCACGAGTTTGACATTTTCTGTTAATTTCTTGGGCTTTCATTTTCCAAACTCATATACCTCTATGCAGAAGCACTCAAATCTTGTGAAAGTCTAACCTTACACCTAGTTTCTTGAAAAAGTCTCCTTTCCTTGACATACACTTTTCAAGCAACCTTTTAAATTTTGAGGCCTGATTCTCTCCGCTGGTTTTAGTCTTTCCTCCAGCTGGAAAAGAACGTGTGAGAAACGTGGCTGCCTGTATTTGCTCACACTCCTGAATACATCCAAAATGTTGCCTCCTAACGAGACGCACCTTTTAGTCTCAGAAAAGGGAAATGGATCATGAGAATGCTACTCTTTCATCCCTCTCAAATAGTAATAATCCCCTTGGGAAAAATTACTCCAAATGTTGACTAGACAAGGCCTTTTATTGTTCAGAGAACCAGAGAATATAAAGCTTCCAAGCCTCTTTGTTTCTATGTCAATCTGTTTTGTGCTTCAAACAGAAATGATTCATCCTCACTGATATTCTTTAACCTATTAAATACCGACAGAGAAAATGCATGCACAGCCAATTTATTACACCCTGTGACCTGTTCTTTGAGTTTCATCCGACCTCCTTTTCCTTCAAGGGTCCCTAAGTCTCTAGATCAGGAAATAAAATGTTCTGCTTCTAACCGCCCCCGCAACATGGGCCATTCTAGCAAAATCGTGTCCTTTGAACTCTAAAGCTTTCCTGTGATTCATCTTTACTCAGTGTGGATTTTTATGTATTTTGAGTGAGTAGGGGCTACAAATAGAAGAGTGTTGAATGTGGTTTGTTTTAGAAGCTCCGCCAGTTTGGTGATATAAGCTGCCATCACTGTAGCAGGATGGACTGGGAATGTGAAGCAGTTTGTCTGATGAGCTTAAGGACAATTTGGACAGCTGCCCTCTTATCCCTGAGCCCGTACTCAGGAAGACACGGGGACCAGCATGGACTGGACCACAAGTACCATCGCCAGGCCCCTTACCCTTCTTATCTAGACATTGCACTCTGGTCCTAACTCCAAAGTGCTTGCCTTTGGATTCTCAGAAGATTTATAAGATGGTCATTGAATTGCTACTAATGTGGCCGATTCTGCAGTAGAGGAAATGGTTTTCCAATCCTGGAGTTAGGATTATGCACTTTGAAATTGCAGCTTGCTGTTTATGGTGGAATTGCTATAGTCTCCCTAGATGCCACTATGTAAATCTGTTCATTCACCTGAAATAGCCTGTGTTTAAAAGCAGACAGACTCCCAAAAGTTACTAATTTACCTGAGAGATAACACCAAGTGAATTTCAAGTCCATTTCTGCCACCCTTATCCATGTCCCTCAAATTTGGCAATTTGCCTAGTAGCCAGCCCATAGCATGAGTTTTTCCAGTTTGTATTATCACTATCATCATCAATGCCATTATTTCATTGTATGTATTAAGCCTTCGGCATAGAGATTTTCTTTTAATTATGTTGTAAACATTAACCTATTGAGTGAAAATGTGTAAGATGAAATAAATTGCAAATATTAATTATATTTGGCAGAGAATTATAGAAGGCCATTGGTGTGCTTGTTCATTAGTTGGCTTCCTCCAGCAAATGAATATTTTAGAATTAATTTCTAAATTCTCACTCTTAATGTGTAGCAACGATGATTGCATCATTGCTCATTAACTTTATTCATGCAATATTTATGTCTAAGGCACTGTGGATTCTAAGGGTGAAAAGTGAATGAATCAACGTGGGTCTTACTGTCAAAGAGTTTGTAGTCTGGTAGGGAAACTAGATTCATGCATGGCAACTTCTAGTACAAAGTAGAAAATAATTGCCTCAAGTAAAATACAGATAATGTGCTGTGGGATTTCAGAGGGCTGAGAGAAAACTGCCTTTCATCTGGGATTATTAATGACTTATTAGAAGAGGTAATATCCAGGCTTAGCCTGGAAGTCCAAGTAGGATCGAGATGTGTAAGAAACTTCGTTTGGCGAAGTGGGGAATTTCAGGGCAGATGTGGAATGCTGCGAGGAGTTGATCCCTTCAAGGTGGAAGACAGGAAGAGGTTTGAGAAGGTGGGTGAAAGCTGGACAGCACAGGGTTTTGAATGTGATGTTAAGAGGTCAGGACTTAAGTTGTTAGGTGAAGAGTTAGGTGAAGAGAATAGCAGAGGGAGAGGGAGAAGCAGGCTCCCCGCCAAGCAGGGAGCCTGATGCGGGGCTTGATCCCAGGACCCGGAGATCATGACCTGAGCCGAAGGCAGATGCTTAACCATCGGAGCCACCCAAGTGCCCCCAGCCTAGATTTTAGATCAATGAGACTACCATGATCAGAGGCATTTGAGGGACTGAATGTATCATGTCTGGTAAGGTGAATGGTAGAAGGAGAACTAGAGGCAAGAACACTAGTTGTGTGTCCGGGTATTACAGGGAGCGTGTAAGGAGAGTTACACCCAGGAAATGGGAATGTGCTTGAAGAGGAAGGAGCATGTTTTTAGAACCTCTTGATTTGGCAGAATCACAGCATATCTGTGATGTGCCAGACCCTGAGAGGAGAGCACACATCAAAATGCTTCCTCTCCCCTCCCCGCCCCTGGCAGCTTCTGGGAGGTCAGAGCTGATGATCAGGAGGTGTGTATATCACTGCTTCATGGCCAGTGTGCTATGTGCTGTGGGGACACAGCCCAGTCCAGTGGGTCAAGGAAGAGGCTTCTCCAAGGAAGTGACATTTATGTTCTTGAAAGATGAGGAGGGGCTGATCAAATGGGGCAGGACAGGGGTGGGAAAAGTTGGGGAGCGAGAGCATTCCCGGACCAACCAGGCAAGCACACAAACCTGAAGACACCATGGGCCGTATTTCCCAGTGTGGGGCTGGAGGTTACCTGGATTCCAGACTTCGCTGGGCTTCCTGATGAGCATTTCAGGATGCTGGACAGCAAATGTTGGTAACCTTCCCTCCTTCTTTCCCTATCCTTGTGCAACTATAATAGATCAAAACATGTCTTCACATATTCCCAACATCCCCTGGGTCAGCAATGGCACCCGCAGTTGGGAGTGGCTGGAAAGGAGGGTGGAAGGTTAGGGTTAGGTAAGGGTCATATCAGGAAAACCCAGGTGCGGACTTTTCTCAGTGAGAGGTTGGAGGTAGGAAGACTGGTGTGTAGAAAAACACATAATGTTTGGCAAGAACATGAATTTTTGGGGGGGGGGTGGAAGGGAGAAAGAAAGTCAGTGGTGGAAATCGAGAAAGATTGCAAGTTTGAGAAGACAGGGATATGGCAGCTGATTGGATTACTTGTTTATATGTGCTGATTTACTGTCTTAACTATAAATGAGTTCCTGCTACACTTTGAATCACCATTTAGAATGGTGTATCACCCCACCCCCAAAGAAATGCAGGAACATGGCACTGATTTGAGAGGAACTGAGATACTTTCAAGGCCTGGGGGACCCTGATCTAACAGAGGAGTGTCTCTATCCACCCCCAAGTCCCACCTGAAGGTGTCCCCCAGACTCTAACCCACACCCAGGGCCCTAAAGGAGTTTTGCCTGATGGGCTAAGGTCCCTAGAGTCCTTCATTTCATTGTTCCACACTTTGTGGATTATGTCACAAAGATGGTGAATTTTACTAGGGGCTTCCCTCTCCACTATCCATGAAGAGAGGCTTAGAGGCTTACATACCAGTGTTGTTCACTTTGGGCACATAATTGTCGGGAAGAAATATTTTTGAGAAGGTGTGAGCCCGTCATTCATTCCTTAGAAAGGTTCCAAATATTTTGCTTTGCTTATTTTTGCGTGGTTTTGGATAGACCTTTCAAAGCACTCCTTTGCTGATGGAGTTTGTGATGATTCATTTCAAGTTTCAAAATAAATTTTTCCACTCAAGCAATTCAGCAAATCAGATTTCTTCCAACCATCACAACCTTACGCTCAGTCCCCAAAGCCTGTCTGCAGCTCCCACCCTTTGATCTGAAAGTGAGGCTAGGTTAAAACCGGAGATGTCACCTTTGCAGGGACCAAAATTCATCAAGACCCTTTGTGTCAGGCCACTCAGGTTTTCCATTGGTGGTATCCAGTCTGCATATTTGAGTAATCATCCTTGAAGTGGAATGTGGTTATTGGCAAAAGAAAGTAGAATCAGTTTTGACTTAAAAAAAGGAAACTTTCAGATTTTCTTGATGAAATTTAAGAGGGAGGTGAGGAGAAAGAGAATATACTTAGCAGCAGAGAAAAATTCCTCAAAACATTTGTTTCTCCATTCTTCATAGTCCACACCCTGGAAATCATTCCCACCCCTTTTCAGAAGGAAAATTACCATATGGATACTTATTTTATTGGCACTAATTAAGCAGCAAGGTCTTTTGAGGTTTCTGGAAAAGGCTGTTTCATACTTTTTAATAAATGTGCTTCTAGAAGACCAGTTTTGTAAACTGTGCACATGTATAAGATGAAACATAGCCTGCTTGTCTCTGCTTATGGCATTATTCGGTCATCTGAGCTTGAACTACTTCTGATCTGTACCTGGTACTGAAAATTCAGCTATTTTATATCACATAAATCCTAATGACTTGCCTTGCTTCACATTCAGCTAAGTTTGGGCAAGACTGCCATTGTTCTCTGAGACTGCAACTTCTTAAACTCAGTTATGTATTCATTAAAAAGGAAAAGCTAAATGAGTCTGTTCTC